AAAAACTTTCTAAATCAATCCTTCCACAATCCTAGGAATATATACAATTCTATTTTCAGATCTGAACCAGTAACCCCACGTTTTCCAACAGGTGGAGGCCCTCTTATGGGAACCTCGTCTCTCTTGGGCCGAGGACCCCTCCTTGGCATGAGAGGCACGGCGTCCTCCCCCCTCAGACTCACTACCAGACATGAAGAAAAGACAAGAAGAGGAAGAACTTACCGAAAGTTTACAAGGATGACTGATACCGCAAGGTGACACCGACCAAACCAATGCGACCGAGTTCTCTGTCACTCAGCTCTCGCTTAAAGACAAAGGATGGACCCCCCAAAGGCCAACTATTTATAAGGGCCCCGGTCCTCAATGACTGTGATCAACTTCATCCAACGGTTCAAATCGACGAGGCATTTCAGTTTTCGAGAACCCAAACCAGATATAATAAATTACTGGCATCTGTAGTAGCCTAATGAGGCGTCACGTCCGCGCATATACGTACACGACCCTTTGCAAGCTTCCACTCAAGAGACACCGTTTGAACCACGACTCGCTTGACCTCGGCTCCAACCTGAAGAAAGCAAGTAACCAGAAGCCCTCGTCATCGACCTACTCCCTTCGCCCAAACTTTTCCACCTCGAGCTTGAGAGTGGGGGCAATTGATGATGAGTGAAATCGACACATCGGCCACCTGGTGCCACATCACCTTAGAGACCACGAGACTTGAATGAGCAGCCTCAGAAAGCATCTGCCATCAAGACGGGTCCCTGTCCATCGATTTATCATCCACAACGATCAAATCAAAGCCGCCCAAGACATCAGTTCCACCCCGAGCTCCTCGAGATATCAGGCGACCTAGGCACAAATTGACATTTCGGTAGAATGACTCTGACCTGCCACGTCAGCATGGGGGACGCGTCTGCAGTTAACGTCTCCAAGATCCTCGGGAACATGTCGAGCAACCGACGGAAACGACAAGCGACTCATTTGGAAAACGCTCCCATGAGCCCCTAAGAATCCACACACCAAGATCCATTACTTCCGAGAATCTCGGAAGCGCCTTGATCATCCCCCAACTCTATAAAAGGGGGGTGCCTTCACCTTCATGGGGTATGCTCTCCGATAAGGTATTCTAGCAGTTCTAGCTCTCTTTGCTCTCTCTGCTTGGAACTATCCTTCAGCCTATCCAGCTAGGCACTAACTTGACTGTCGGAGCCTCCTCGCCTAGGCTCACAACCCAGCCTTTCTGACATCCTCTCATTGCAGGGTTCAAGCCGCTCACTACTCCTACTCGAAGCTCTCCAAGCAGATCGAGCACCATCAAATATCATTAATCTTTCCATATAAAATCTAATTTCCTTCTATTATCAACCTATTTCTAAATTAAGCTAGCATTTTTTCCTTTTAGGTTTCCCGCCTAATTCTTAGACACCTAATTTCTTTCCTATTTTTTATCCATTTCCTAATGCACACATCCACCACTACTAGTCTATGTTGTGTTGTAAAGCTTTCTCCCAAAATAACTTTGCAATCTTTATACATCTTTTGTTGTGTCCTTTTAGTAAGGAAAAAAATCCATCTGACTTATTTTTGACCCACTATTAAATGTTATGAAGTGTTCATCCTTCTTTTAGAAAAAAGGTGTTTAAAATTGCCATATCATAAGCTATTGCAAAACCTAATATTGTACCTCCTAATTCATTCCTCTCCCCAAACCAAATCCTCTATACACCATATCATATCCTACACTTCTTTACCCTACATGCCCATGTAAGTCTCTTATAAAAATCTTCTCTTCATTTGGAATTTCTTGGACTAATCCTTCTAAGTTTTCCAAAATTTTCTCTTAATGTTTCCTTCTAAACCCACTTGAGGTTCATAAGCACTAATTATGTTAATGATTTCCTAATCTAAAACAAGTCTAATAAAAACTGTTCTATCCCCAATTCTTTAAACATTTATAATGAATTTTTAAATCCTTATCTACTATTATCACTACACCATTTCTATTATTTATCTCTCTCATATACCATGATTTGTAGCCACCAATTTCTTTAGTTTTTTTCCCTTCCATTTAGTTTTTTGTAGGCATGCAATATTAACCCTTCTCTTCATAGTGTCTACTAATTCCATAGTTTTTCCTATTTATATTCCCACAATCCAAGTTGCTAAACAAAGTTGTGTTTCTTGGACTAGTTTCTTTACTTGCCCCTATCCAAAAGAATGTAGGAACTCTAGACTATTTGATACCACAACTAAGCGTTGCTATGGTGGGTCACTTACAGGGACTATCCTAGCAGGCCCTTGCCCTTTAAAACTACACTTGGGGAGTTGGGGTTATAAGAAAATAAAACCTTGCCAGTTAACACTTAATTTGAGACCTAATATAACCGATATCTTCAAATAAAATCTTGTCAGTTAACACTTAAAATATGAATACCCATCACAGGTCTGAACACTCTGTAAATTGACCCTAAATTACTCAAGTTATGTTCAAATTGTGTCATCTTGGGATTACTAGATACATAACTAAATAATCATTAAAACAGCAACAAGATCAAAGTGTTTCATCCATTTTGACATAGAAAAGTGATGCCGAAGTTAAGATAATAAGATTTGAGTCAAAAGTGAACCTTAATCCCACACTCTGTAGCCCATCAGATGGCATGCTTTCTCCTTCTAGTTTCATTGACATCTCAAAGGTTTGCATCCCAATTGTCTAGGGATTTAATTCAGCAATTTAGTTGTACATATTTTTCTACTGTTTATCGTTTATTGATGTAGGTGGATCTACTGTATATGAATAGATTCTTAAATCAAATCAAAATAATGATGCAATACTAAAATGAAGTACAGAAGCACACCTGTTTGATGTCTGTAATATCAAGATCCAAGTAATAAGAGTCAGAGAATTTATCAATTTCTTCTTGAAGTTTGCTCTTTGATGATTCTGACAAGTAGAGATAATACCTTCACAGAAAATACTTTTATGTTAAGATATTGTAACAAGCTATAATGATGAAGAGATAAAAGAAAAAAAAGAAATAAAATTCAGAAATGAATGAAGCAAATATAGTGACAAACTTTGGATGCAACTGCAGGAGTCGCTTCTGTGAGCAACAATCCAAAACCCAAGAATAATGAATGATATCTCCATGAAGCTTAGCTGCCTGATATTTGATCCCTGAAAGATTTATACATATTATAAAAGTTTTCTAAGCTAAGATGATTTTTCCAAAGAGAAATGGTTAATACAAATACCTTTTTGCTCGGCTGCAATACAGTGAGTGACTGAGCCATTAAGATTCATTGAGAAAGTTCCTCCATTCTCAGCCACCATTTTGTGGAAGGAATCCAGAGAATGGGTTGGAGGCACATTGACAAAGTCTATGGAGGTTAAAGAAGTAATAACAGTAAACAAGAATTTAATAATCATAAGGCTCCAGAAACTCATCTATAAGAAATATCATTTGGAGTTTTGGACAAGTAAAAACTTCTAGCAGCAAAAGACAAAAGAAGATAGAAGTGGATTGGTGTATAGAGAGTTAAACAAAGCAACTTAAAAAGGAAAAAATCTAAATTATACGTCTTGTATTTAAAATATTTGTCCTTGCATCAGGATAGGAAGGATAGAGCCACTCTCTGCCTCTAATGGAGTCATGTATATGAAATCTCCTCTCTTCTCATAGACACATAAGACATTCTACCTATGGTTTGACATTCTACAATTGCATAAACAAAGGAATATACCACATTTCACACACACAAGAACAGGAGAAAGGCAGACAAGACAGGACATCTTTATTCTCCTTTATGACTCCAAGTATGTAACTGAGTTACAAATAAATGCAACTATAGTGCCAACATCTTACAGACACAGTAGAGTGAAAAAAAAAAACAAATAATATTGCTAAAATCCATAGGATACAAAACATGATGTTTGCAAATATAAGAGTCTCCTCTTTAACACCAGATGTATCTGTCTGAACAAAATGTGAAGGGACAATAGAAACATTCTTTTTCCTCTCACCCAATTGTGAGGATTTTGTGTGTTTTGGTTTACTATCTTGTAAGCATCCATAATCTGTTCCCCTCTGGGTGTTGCCATTACTAGACTGTACCAAGTCCACAAAAGCTGAGATTGAAAGAAACATATATTTTAGATCAAAGAAGCTCCTTCCATATCAAGTGAATTAAATCAAAGAGAAATCCTCAAAAGAACATGAGGAACTTTTTTCCATGATTTGTCAGGCATCAACATCATAAGAATGATATCCAATAAATTAACTAGATAGATATAGATGGGATGATAACCACAATTTGAGGCTTATAATCTTGTTGATCAGACCTACAGAGCAACTGGAAGCCCATTTAGAAATAAAAGTCTCCTTACATTGCACATCAAGGCATTCGTGCCAAGGTTTGTCATATCTCACCCGGTCAATACGGGGGAATCTCAAACTATACGGTGCGGCAAATACCTAGATGAAAGAACATTAGATCAGTTTATTATAGAAAATAACCAGCCAAAGAAATTAAAAAAGTCTGTCTTGATATGTATGATGTGGTCAATCCAAACTATTCACCAAGTAGGGACACTAGATTTTCCACATGTTTAATCTTCCAGTCATCATCACCCATATATCCCACTTTGTCTTGTAGTTTTCCCAACTAATATTAGCCATTTGAAATTTTTATTATTAATAATAAAAACATGGCAAAACAAGGTCTTTTGGGCTAAAACATGTGCCATGAATATATAGGGTGGGAAGAGGAAGACAGGAAAATTACATCATCGAAAATTATTAGATAGTTTAGTCATTTAGGAAAGCTTAGACAGCAACCTGAGTAGCAGGCCTGTATATGTATAAGACAGACAAAAAGGAATTACACTATTGTTCCAACTGTACCTCTGACCTAATTGTTCGGATATCACTAGTGATTGAAAGTATTACTGACCTGTAAAAGAGAAAGTCGTTATATATATATATATATATGGAAAAAATGCATATATTTTGTAATTTTACAGAAAGTAATAACATTGAAAGGCTGCTAACTTTTCAGGGCTATCAATCCAAACATCTGGCCTCTCCTTTGAATTATTTGTAACTTCATAAAAGCTTGGTGGAGACTTCTTTGGATATTCATTTTTCCTGCCAAAACAGATTTTTCAGTTTAATATTATTTACAATAATGTTATGTGTAAGTGTGTGTGTGTGTGTATGCCCCCACTTTCCCACCCCTGAAAAAAGAAAAAAATTTAACATTTTAACCCTGCTCTGAGGAATAGAAATCAAATGCTTGAAAAAGATTACCTGAAATAAGGCTTCAATTTTGTAAGAAGAGCATTCAGCTCATCATCAGAGAGACCGGAACCCACTCTACAAAACGAAATAAATCTGCATGGAAAGATATAAATAGTATCATTAGTAGATGCCCAACTTTAGTGAGCCATACAAATATATAAGAAGGTAAATTAAGAAGTTAAATGAAAATTATGTTCTTCAATAAATCAGGACTAAGTAGTTCAACAAAATTGCCAACTAAATTTCTAATGAGATTATAATCACAGAATACCACTTAAGCCAGAAGGAAATTTCATTAAATCATTATAAGACCAGCAATGTTGTGTGGCATTATTGGATAGTCACAAAACATGTAGCAAAGACGCAAATTTGAGATGGAGTTCAAAATTAGAAACCATAGCATCAGAAATGAGCATATTTATGGAAATCTAAGAGCAGAAACAATATGTCACAAAAAGAGGGAAAATAGACAGAGAATGTTTTCATCATGAGTGCCAAAGACCAGCTACCAAAGTAGGAAGAAAGAACATAATAGCAAATTACAGGGTCTAGAAGAGCCCAGGACAAGCCAATAAGGACATGGGTAAAGCACTAAGAAATGATTTGAAGGCCCACGGTTTAACAATAGATATTTGCATTGAACAGAGTAGAATGGTAGAACAGGATTCATGTAGCCAACCTAATATAGTTGATATAAAGCATTGTTCATTACCAAGAGAACAAAAAATATATCAAATGAAGCAGAAGTACTATGGTACTAATGTCCCTAAACTCCATAATGTTTCGACTACATATTTCCATTTTCATGGGTAGTGACACAAAAAGTCTACCAGAATCGACATATTCCCCAATGAACACTACTAGCACTATGTCGAGTACAAGAGATAGTTTCCACGACATATTTCCATTTCCACTTCATGGTTAGCAACATGAAATCTTATTGGAATCAACATATTCCCCAGTGAACACTACCAGCAGTACATGGAGTACAAGAGATATTGTTATAACATAAATTGGTAACAATATTGTAGATATGTGGAGTAACAATGTCATTGCCCACCAAACTTATATTATTACCACTTTGAGCTAGTTCAATATTCATTTCAAACATGAAGTTAAATATTAGTTTTTTTTTTTTTTGTGTAATAGATTATTTGGTTGATCTGTAATAGGTTTACAGGACAACTTTAGAACAAATATTTTGTCTATAACCTTAGTTTCTTAGCGTTGTTTAATGATTTGAAACAAGATAAAAATTTAAAAATCCATGCCTATGCTTGTTTTATTATTTCATAAAATATCATTCTATATTTTTGCATATTTTACAATGTGCCACGTCTATAATTTTTACAATAGTTCCACACGATATTTCTGACATTTTCAATATGTTTCCTATAGTTAGATGACCAACATTTTAAACCTTGTTTGCATGTACACACATATAATACATTGTGATAAGTACATTGTGAAGGTAAAAAATGGAGAGAAGACATACACTTGATGTAAAATTGTATTGATTATTAAATGACTAAACTACAAGTTTGAGTTGGCTGGGTTGGGCTGGGATTAGACCTCAGCTCAGGACTGACCGAACCTGAGGTCAAAGCCTGAGTTTACCAACCCAAGCTCAACCTGAGTTAAACACAACAACTCAAGCTGGGCCCAGACTTCGTTGGGCCTGGGCAGGTTGGTTGGATTTGAAAGGTTCCTTAGACATATTTTGCATATTTACCACTCATTTCAGCTTTATAGCTGTAGAGATAAAGAAGTTTTTTTTTTTTCTTTTTATCTTTTGTTACTTCTTATTTATGAGAGGATCAGTATTGTTATTATACTTGTTTTTAAGTATTTATAGGTTAGGGAGTGGTCCTACCATAGTCTCACTATCAATTGCTTATATTCTCCACGAACTCTTTGTCTATCTCTCTATTTCTTCTCTTCTACTGTTTTCTTCTTTAATAAGAAATAGCAAAAGATAAAAAGAACTTCATAATCTTTACCCTCCCCCTCAAGTGGATACCAATCTCTGATCTCTGGCCTCCAATCAATATAAAAAACTCCCTTAAAACATCATTGATCAAGTAGTATGGTTCCCACAGCCAATCCCCATATCACCCCATAGTCAAAGCCTTGTATCACCCCTATATGGACTACTAGCCCTTACCTTGACAGTTTCAAAAGAGAAGAGATGCAAATTTTTCTGCCTATGATACCAACTTAAAATAAAGGAGTTGAAAATTACACCTACAGTAATTCAAATAATGCAAGAAAAGAAGAAAAGAGAGAAAGAGAAAGAAGAAGAAAAGAAGTTTCAGCAATAGGTTGTGGAAGAAGAAAAGAATGGAAGAGAGAAATGAAGAATTCGAACCTCTCTCTAGCACCCTTTCATCACTTTTATTAATAATTCTAAGTCTGAGTACAATTACTTGGCGGCCATCCCCGCATTAGCATAGTGATCAACCTGTGGATCAACAGACTGAACCTATCTTCTGCTCTCCTCACTACTCACCATAGCATATGCCTGAGACAAAGTCACTTCATCCTTTGCTAAAGCATTCCGCCTCACAATATCATTCTCCGAGTTGAGTCTAGTGAGGATCTCAAAGACCCGATTTCTCGCCACCAACCCTATATGTTTCTGCATCCTTTGTGCAACCCCAAACAATAGTCTCTATCTGATCAATCTCTTGCCAAAGAGATTTCAGCATAGAGAAGTAGACTGCTAAGGGCTTCACCCCCTGTCTAAGATTATTCACATCATGCTTCAATTTGTAGGCCCGAACAACATTAAGCTTTTGGGAATAGGTCTTTGTGACACTATCCCACACTTCTTTTGTATTTTCCACTCATAGGTAATGCTGACTAATGTGTGGTTGGATAGAATTCACTAACCAATCCACTACTGTGTAGTTTTCCTGCATCAACCTTTCATAGGTAGGATCATCCTCCTCCGATTTCTTTTTGCTCTCAGTAACATAACCCCATTTCTCTCTACTACACACATGTATCTTAATAGATTGAGACCAAGCTAAATAATTGGTCCCATCTAGCTTCATAGTAGTCACAGCCACAAAAAGATTCTCCACTGACCCCCCCATGTCCAAACCTGGAATCTATGGAATATTTGGTCTCTCCTCCAATTTGCTCCATTGAATAAACGGATGCAAACGAAAATCAAATTAGGGCTTTACTAGGCTATATTTACTGCTCTAAGCAAAGAACAACCTCTCACCCCTCCCCCCCCCCCCAAAAAAAAAAAAAAAAAAATTAGGGTTTCATAGGGTCCTGCGAGATAGGGAGAAAGAGAGAAACTTCAACCACCCCTTCCAGAGCCCCTAATAGAAATCAAAAGGCTTACCTCTAATCCCCAAGCACCTAGTTCAAACTGTCTCTACGACCTATAATAAGGTTTCTCCAGTTATCTAGGGTCTTCGGGAGAAATCTCCAAGAACCTGCCTTGGGCTTCAACTAAGGATGAAAAACCTCCAAAAACCTTCCTAACTAGGCTGCATAAGTAGCTGATTGATCAACCAATCAGTTCTCCATACACACTATGTATGGGCAAAGAAAGGAGAAAAAAGTCGAAAGTGAGAACCTGCTCTAATACCAAGTTGAAAATTACACCTACAATAATTCAAATAATGCAAAAAAAAAAAGAAGAAAAGAGAGAGAGAAAGAAGAAGAAAAGAAGTTTCAACAATAGGTTGTGGAAGAAGAAAAGAAGGGAAGAGAGAAAAGAAGAATTCAAACCACTCTCTACCACCCTTTCAACACTTTTATTAACAATTCTATGTCTGAGTACAATTACTTGGATGCCCTTAATGGGGTGGCCAGCACTGAAGAAATAATTAAAGAAAATAAAAGAAGGCCCATAAGAGCCCATAACTAAGAAACATAACTTTTAAACACTAGTTAAAAGAAATAAAGAACACTAGGGCCCATTCAGCTCATTCTCACTACAAAAGGATTGATGATTAAAATAGAGAAAACACCAAGATCTAATGTAGTCGGCTTGGTAGCCTACATCCACGGGAAGAGAGGGAAAAAATATTAACTATGAGAACAAGAGATACAAGACTGACCTCTCTACAGACTCACAACATAATGAACACTCTCACTCAACCTTAATCCCACACAACCAATGGCTTAAATAAGCAAAACACCCAATTATATCAGAATTTCACGCTGGCGCTTCTTCCTCCCATAAATACATATAAGTCACTAAAGTTTATCAACATTACAAATATACCCCTATAACCTCCAACACCCTCCCTAAAAGAAAACCCAAATACAATCAAATACAATATATCTCTCTACATGAACACCATATGGACATCTCTCTTTTTCTCTATGAACATCGCTATCAATCAACTTAAAAAGAAGGATAGCTTCCATTGTTGATCCCCCTGGCATAACCCAAATTGGTCCCTTGATATACTTGTTTCATGTTGTACCCTTTGCTCAACTATTCTCTCACAAAGTTCCATAGTGTGGCTCATGAGCTTTTCCAATCATCAGGCATCTTCCTTCTGTACATTATCTTATTGAAAACCTTAGCCATAATAAGCATATCCCTTCCATACTTTTTCATAATTCTATTGGAATCCCATCAGGTCCTAATGCTTTTCCTTTCATCTTATTTAGTGCCTCTTTCACCTCATAGTTGATATACTAGTCTCTCCTCCATTAGCTTCCTCTACATACTATTCATTTGATAAATTTTCAAAATAGATTTTCCATCTTTACTTGATTTCCTCATCTTTTACATTACACTTTGATCTTCTTCTGCGCCTAATGAACAAGTAGTTGTTATCTTTACTGAGTGTCAGAAGTCAAAGTTGTTTGACAGTATAGGCAAGCTGGGCACAACTAACATTTATGCTCAGATTGAGGGAGAGTGTTGGGAAGGGTAAATAGACATTTATACGTTGACATCAGAAAGGGTAGTATAGCCTTTTTATTGGTTTATGGGCATTCTTGTAAATGTATATTTCCCATTAAAGAGGGGCTAACAGCTTTAAGAGTTTTTATTCTTCTTCACAGCTTTGTTTTCTTTATTTTTCTTTATTTCTGTGCTAGAAGGGGATCTCCAGACACAAGTGTCATCCTGTAGACATTGTGTATAAGTACCACTTACAACTTAAGTTGATTTTTTTTTAGCACAAATAAAAGAATAAAGTAGGATCAGTTCACAATGTCCAAACTTCAACAAGCAATTGAGTTTTGTTATCTGTGCAAGTAATGAAAGAAATTAGGGATGCATATCGATCAAATTGGATTGGATATAATTAGACTCAAATTGATTAATTAATATTCAAATTCAAATTGGTTAAGAGGACTGCCAACTCCATGGTAGATGCTTTATCTAAGAAAGGGGCAGAAAGACAATTAATGTTCTGGGCACAATTCTAAAAAGAAATTTTGGGGGGAGATAAGATGGTTGATCTCTCAATCTTTGTAGATTTATATTGTACACACCTCTTAATTCTATAATGTAATGAAAGCTGTAGTTATTGCTAAAAAAATCAAATCAGATCTTGTCCATCAAATTTTTATTGGATTTGAGTCAAATTCGGATTGCAATTGGATATTGAATAGTATAAATAAATTAAACTAAACAGTGATCAAAATATTAAACATTTATTAAGTGAATTAAAAATGACACTGATATTGTATTTCATGAACAAAATGAAGTGAAAATTACTTGTATGAAACTTGAACCAATGATAATTTAGTAAAAACACAAATTTCAAACCAACTTTACTAATAGATACAAAATAAATTTTAAGAATACATGAACACATTTAAATTGAATCAAATCAAATTATATCAGATTGGATAGGGGTGGATCCATATTTGATCCAACCATAAGCGGATTGAATTTGGATCACCCTAAAAGAAATGGTTCTGTCCACTTAGGGCTTCAAGTCAGGTTGCCCGACTTGAAGCACTCCAACTACATCAGGCTTGCATTAGGATTTGATACCATTGAAAAATTAAAAGAAAAAAATAATTGCCAACTCAACCTGACCAAAGTTGCACCATCCACCCTAGTGGTATGGCAAGGACTCTTAGTATAGCACTTGGGCTGGAGAAGGTATAAATAGGTCATTACACAATGTTGGTTCCAGGTATCAGGGTCTTGGGAGGGAGTCCGGATCTGCTCCCCACAGAGCACTCCTCACACCAACCTCACAACACGATCCAACCACACATCTGGAACATCTCCCATACTCATGTGTTATTATTCATGGGAGATGTTCCCAATACAGTAGATCGGCATGAGGTGTGCTATGAAGAGAAAATCCCAATTCCTTGGGAGGGGTAGACTGGACACAGTCCTTACCTTTGGCATTTTTTTGCACAAAGTGACCACTCAGACTCAAACTCACATTCTCACTCTTGCCAGCCCGAGATTTTACCATTACACCAAGTAATCACCCTGGGATGGACAAGGTATCAGATACAAATTTACACCAGAAAATGAAGTATGCAATAAACTATAGCACCCGAGTATAGGTATCTAAGTATCATAAGTTGTACATTCAGCCCTGAATTTTTTTGAGGGCAACAGCTTTAAGCTTCCAAAGCACAGATTATCTTGCCCAGTGGAAACATGTAATTGGTACAAAAAATAAATTACCGTCTCGGATAGACATTTGGTGCAGAACGCTCTGCAAGACCCAACAAAAACTGAGCCACCTGAAATCAATCAGCAATAAATTCTAGAGTTACTTCTACTGAAACCACAAAATAGCAGAGAGAAGAGCAACAGGTTTGCAAGCACAGTAGAAAACTAACATCGCCTCCACGACGTCCAGAGCCATAATATCCTCCTATTAATTGGCAGGAAATGACAACAGCAAGTTAGGTCAGAATAATGTAAAGAATAATATAAACTCCACCAAATAATGCATCATATTGTATTTTCTTGTTAAAGACAATTTACATGACATAAATGGACATTCTGGCCCAACCACGAAAAAAAAAGACTCAAAAGGAAATAACACCAAAGAAGAAACTTGGCAAAAAGCACTCTGTTAAAATAAGAACATATACACTGACACAACAAAACTTAGCCCCAAGCCATACTAAAATCCTTGGGTAAGGGCATGGACATGCCCAAACTATCGGTCGGCAAAATAGCCTTGCAAAGCATCATCTTAAGTCACTCAACTCCTACAAAGCATCATCTTAAGTCACTCAACTCCTACAAAGCAGGTGCCTGGACCTCTGAAACTTTGTGAAGCACAAACTTTAAGTGTTCTCATTCAGCAAAGTAATATATGGAGAGGTGAAACGGGGCAGGACTGAATGAGAGGCTAAAAAAAAACACGCTATTTGCTACCAAGTTCCTGTGTGCTCCACTTGCAACCGCCTACTCTAAGTTGGGATAACTAACTAAGGCGCTTTTCTGACAACAAAATATTCCTAGAATCAAGTGCAGTCTGAGTGAAAAATGCCTATAAAAGGGTGGCAGAACACCCAAACAACAAGGAAACAATACTAACTTCACTCTCGAGCTCACTACCCCTTAACTCTCTTTCTCTCTCCAGGAAATTCTAGTTCACTCAACACCCTTTTTGCATATTAAGAAGAAACAAGTGGGTTCTATGTCAACGGTTCAGCTGGTTGAATTAAACTGGTTAATTGGTGTCATAAATAAGATAAAAATTATATGTCAACAGTTCAGCTGGTTGAATTAAACTGGTTAATTGGTGGCATAAATAAGATAAAAATTATATGGAACTTTGTTTATATTATTATGCATGTGTTTAGCATGGGTTATCTACTAGCTTTACTTGAACCAAAACATATTTCCCATTCCTTTTGTTTCTTTAGCAAAGAACTTTCGTTATCTGAAAAGATGAACCAAGCACTGTTCGCTATTTTCTCTCCATCATTTCTGGCCGTTTTGTTTTTAGCCAGAAATAGAATTCCATTCTAGAAAGAATTTGCAATAATAGCAAAATTAGAATCTAAATCAAACATGGCATAAATCCCTATCCTCTATAATTTTCCCCAGATAAAAGATACAAGTACACAGGACGTCGGAGTTTCTTCCTCTTGTTTTCCTGGAGGTGTTAAGCACCATGGAGAAAGGTAAGTTCGTACAGGCAGCACAATGGAGAAGGGTTCTGAAGGTTGAAGCAAAACAGTTCCTCTTGGAAAGTTTCAGAGTGAGGGGGGGAAGTGGCCATTAAAATCAGAGAAATGAAAATGGCTATGGTATTCCTGGTAGGAGATGAAGTGATAGTGTGGTTCAGGACATTCTTGGAAGAAGCAATTAAACTAAGTTCGAAGCTGGAACGTAAAGGATCAATAGAAGGTCGTAGTAGGAGATATGTAGCAGAAAGAAGAATGCTAAAGGAAGATTTTTGGTGCTAGTGGTGCTTTTTGGGAACACAGGCAGGCAAATGGTCTGTTTCCCAGAAGGAAAACAAATGACTGGTTGGAAAGAGGTCTTAGAGGTTTTGAAGACTTTCTCTATCAGGGGAGAGAAGGTGTCAGAGGATAAAACAGGAGAACAAATAGGAGGGAAGATTGGGGAGATGGGGTCCAAATCTTATGCCAAGGTACTGACAAGTGGTAGCTTGGGGCAGACATTTGGGCTACAGGGTTTCATTGAAAGAACCTGAACCGCCAAAAGACAGAGCTTGATATGGCTCAAGACATTAGCAAAAAGAAATTTGACATTTTAGTGGATGGCTAGGTGGGTGAGAGTAGAGTGGGCCATGTGGGAACGAGTAAAGAAGGGGAATTGCTGGGCCTTATAAATAAACCACATGGGCTGATGACTGTCAACATGTCAGGGGGTTCGAGTGGGTACAGACTTGAAGAGGATGAAGCCCAGAGGCTAGAAAAGGGGCCGGGCCAGGAATTTAATGTAAATGGTCATCATGGGCCAAATGGGCCAAAACTTAATGGGGCAGGGTCAGGTAACCTTTTAAGCAGTCACATGTGGGCTTTAGTAAGGCCGACGATGGACACTAACTATGGTCCATCATCGTCCTCCCCACGACATGGAGCATAGCCGAACGTCTTGCAGCGGCAAACGAGCTTAAGCTGGAGACCAGTTACAGTGACAATGGTGCAGTCTCCAGAATGTCGTAATCCAAGAAGTAGAAAATGCTTTGCCGATAAATCTATTGAGGAAGACATTTTTTCATCAGGCGATGAAGGTTCAGACTCTGAAGATGCAAAACGCAGAGACCTCAAGCATTGGAAGTGTTTACCTGATAAGAAACAGTGGGTTCCTCAAAGATGAAAGTTTTGACAGAACAACTGTTTCAGGAGTTTGATGAAGAAGACTGTTCAAAGAACCTAACAAGCTCGACTGTACCTATTTTTTCTGAGGCTTCGATGGAAGGAGGTAGGGGAGAAGAAATTGCTATGAGCAAAGGTAACCAGCAGACTTCAAAGTGACCCCGGAGATTGAGCAGGTGCAGGATGTTTTGTTAATGGCTAATAACTTACCTTACTGCAAAGTGGAGGTACACCGCCGGGAATTTTGAGTGAAAACCAAGTTCAGCCGCCAAGTTCCATTGTCCAGATCAGTACCAGGCCTCTTGTTACAAGAGTGGAAACAGACCCTTTTGGATTGAATTCTAATCCAAGAAATTGTGATTCTCCTACAGAGCTCCCCTCGGAAAGTACATCTGCATTTAAGTTTAAGAGCACTAACGAGTTTACTGTGCCTGTAACAGAATTCGCTCAGCCCCAGCCATTGCCTATGAAGCCGAAAAAGGATAGCGTGCAAGGTATGCAAGACTTGAGGGGTGAAGCTGGAGCAAGGAGTGAGGACAATGAATGGAAGGAACTTGGTGAAAAAATTTGGGGACTGGTGTGTGAATATTTTGAGGACCTGCAAAAGGAGGCTATAACTGAAGAAAATGCAGGGGATTTGGGTGTACAGGATGTCTCACAGAGGAAAGGGAGGGTAGATGAAGGGACAAATGAAAAGGAAAAGGAACCGGTGACAGATCTTGTACAAGTGATGGGGTTAAAGTTGAGAGAGGTAGAAAACATTACAACCTATGCCAAAAGGAAAGGGAAAAAAGAGTCAACTGATCAAAGGAAGAGAAAAATGTTGGAACCGTTAAGATCCATCATATGAATGGCCAAACCAGGTTAGATGGCTGGGCAAAATTTCAAAAATTTCCAAATCCTTCTAGAATCGAATTCCCTATATTTTAAAAAACTGCATTTTTCAGGGTCGGTCTTGCACTGAACAGGGCCATATTTGAAACCAATCAAAGAGGGGGATTTATACCTGATATGGATACCACAAACGCAGATCCCAAGGTGGAAGTTCACACCCAAATCAGTCCTAAAGCCATATTTGCTGATTCAGCAACACGGTTTTCAGCAAAATTGCAACCCAACTGCTTGGATCGAACTAAGGAAGTTGAGCCTAATATCCCCTGAATTTTTCTTGCAAAAATAAGAGGAAAAACTGATCTATATCAGTCCTAGATAGCTGAGGTCGAACTGGGAATTGGGAAAAAACTGGGAGACAAAAGGGTGTAGAGAGAACCAGAAACTGCAAAATTATGAAGTTGTCTTGGATTAGTCCGCCCCCTCCTCTTTTATAATCTCTTATGGAGTTATCTCCTAATCTAATTAGGAGATAATCCAGATCTAAATCAGATCTGGACTCTAATTAGAGATATGCCTTATCTTCTTATAAGATTAGATGCTCCATACCCAGATCCAAACCCAGATTCACCCCATGTCACATGACAACTTAAGCTGCCATGTGACGGCTTAATCAATCATATTAATTATGGGCCTTAGGCCCATCAGCTATAAGGCTCACGACCCAAGAGTGTTGCAAGGCCAACTTAGGCTTAATTTGTATGGCGTGGGACCCCACAATGACCTCACATAAGCCCACATTGGTTCGGCCCAGCCTCTGTGAAGAGGCTTGGCTGAATTCACTGCTAAACGCAGTGAACCCCTGAGCACATCACTATAGGCTCAATATGGGCCCAACATTTACACTTAAATGATCCTTGAATTCAACCATCCTATGAAGACCCAAGGATAATGGATTTAAGTAAGATAATGCCCATCAGGTAATCAGCCCTTAATGGTCTCTTACACTTAACCTCTTAGCCCATAAAGATCAAACACTGCCCAACAGGGAAGGACCTCTCCACTGGTTGCAAAGTACAGTCACACTCTCTGCTCGGATGGATCCCGATAATTAAAACCTTTTGCAAAATTTTTTCATAAAACATAATATATATATCATATAAATATATTTTGCAAAACCAAATCTCAAACACAGTTGAAATCCACTGCTAGAAATTTAGGTTTCCATCAAAGAGAGTGTAAGACCTATCATTCACTTTGTCTGACAAAGGGGTCGATCCTATCACTATGACCACACACTCAAGTGAATTCTCAAACTGCCCCAACATCCCCAGGTTTTGACCCTTAGTGGATCTCACTTATTGGCATATCAAAGACAACCCAATCCAACACCTATTGCAGTAGCATAATCAAGTCTAGGGGTCATGTGTAACTTTCTAGTTTTGCCCATCAATCCCTAAGGTCTAGGGCATAACTGGAAAATAGTTCGGGTTCAGTGATTCAACCAAACACACACTACATGTGCTTTGGGTCTAACCCTAGCAGTTGAGACAAGCTACTCCAACTTCTTTGGCAACACATCAGTGTCAGCCTTGGCAGGATAAACTCCCCAAGTCTATCCAACGTCTAACATTCTAAACTAACACAAGTCTCATAAGTGTCCGGTTTAAGTGGTAATTTCACAGAAACATACCAATATCAACATGAAACAATAAATGTACCATTACTCATTTAAAATAAATGTATTTGTACATCAATCTGACTGGAGCTAAGAGCATACACTGTCTAACAAAAAATGACAATGGTAGAGAAACTAAAATCTGATGTTACAGCTGATCTTGAATTTAGTGTGAGGGGGCAGAGACGGAAGGGTCCAAAATAGGGGATTATTTGAGTGGGGACTAAGTTGAATTTTGATACGAAGATATTGAGCTGGAATGTCAAAGGCTTAGGCAGTGCTAAGAAAAGAAGGGTAATAAAGGATCTTCTCAGAAAAGAGTGTCCAGATATAGTAATGCCACAAGAAACAAAATTGGAAATCCTAGATACAAGATGGGTGAGAAGTGTGTGGAGCTCTAGAGGGATAGGTTGGTCCTTTATGCCCTCGTAGGGGGCCTCTAGGGGGATTGTGACAATGTGGAGGAAGGAAGTGGTGGAACCAGTGAAGGAGTTAATAGGTTGCTTCTCAATCTCTCTGAAGTTCAAAGTTTTGGAAGATGGGTTTACTTGGGTTCTATCTAATGTCTATGGTCCCAACAAATATAGAGATAAAGGTTTAATGTAGGAAGAGCTTTACGACATTAGATGGTTGTGGGATGGACCATGGTGTTTAGGTGGTGACTTTAATGTGGTTAGATTCACAAACGAGACAAATAACCCCAACTAATTGGTCAAGACAAGCATGAGGAAATTCAATGATTTTATTGATGATTGTGAATTGATGGAACTTCCTCTTCAACAGACCATTTTCACCTGGTCTAACCTACAAAACCCCCAAGTTGCTCCAAACTAGATAGATTTATTTTTAACTTTGAATTGGAAGTGCATTAGACAGGATTGTTAGCTAGAGCTTTACCAAGGGCCACCTCGGATCATTGGCCGGTCACCATTGGGACGAAAGACTTTCTAAGTGGCCCTAGACCTTTCAGATTTGAAAATATGTGGCTAACTCACCCAGACTTTGCTATTACCATTTACTAATATCTTGTCCCTTTGTTATAGGTCTCTGGGAAAAGCTTCTTAATCTCTTTGGATGCAGGTGGACAATGCCAACATAGGTTAGCAATCTATTTGAGCCTACAACCTTTAGGTGGCCTAAGAAAAGAGGTAAAGTCTTGTGGAGGTGTGCTAGGGCTGCACTGGTTTGGACTGTTTGGGAAAAAAGAAATGCCTGGATCTTTGATGAGAAGGAGAGGAACGAGATCATTGTATGGGATTGCTTAATTAATAGAGCCATTAATTGGGTAAAGACCCTGGAACTATTTTCTCCATTCTCCTTTGATGATTTATGGAGAAATTGGGAAGCGGTTGCCAAAAGCTCTAGTACAAAACCTAAACCATCAGCAGAATGGAAACCTCCTCAAGAGGGTATCGTTAAGCTCAACTTTGATGGCAACAGTTTAGGCAATCCGGATCCTTCTGGTGTTGGGGCATTGTTTAGAAATACAGAGGGGCTAATCATTGCTTTATACTCTGCCCCTTTAGGAGTGGGGAACTCAGTCAATGCAGAAATTCAAGCAATGCTACAAGGAGCTGAATTTGCCAAGGAACTGAACTGTGAACAGTTGTTAATTGAAGGTGATTCCAAGTTGGTGATCTAGTGGTTAAAAGAACCAGAAACAACAGCCTGGTCCTATAAAGGGGCTTTACGAAGATTCAAATGGCTAACTACAAACATGTCAGTCCAATTCCAATGGGAAAGAAAATCAGTAAATGGGTTAGCAGATTCATTAGCTAAACAAGGGGTGCATAGGAATCAGATGTTTTGGGCTGAACTGTAATTTTTGCTTTAATCCGAGGCTGCATCTCATGCCTCATATTGGGAACTTTCTCTGTGTATCTTATATGCTTTTAATCTATTAATAAATTCACTCATTATTCATCAAAAAAAATATATGTACAAGTACACAGTTTAGAGGTATGGATACTAGAAAAAGTTTTGCCACAGCTTTCATGCATTAAGAGTACATGAAATGTAAGTGAAATTAAATAGACAAAATCTTTACCTATGATCAGGACATCCAGATCAGAACTAGCATGTACATACTCAGGCTTCAGCTTTAACCACTTTCCACTTCGATCCCCAGGTTCCCATTTAGAACCAAGGTCTTTCAAAACAATCCCTTCGTCTCTGTAAAATAACTTCATCCATTAGAAAAAGTAAAGCTTTAAATTATCAGCTTCACCGGTCACACTTTTCTTTCATTTGGACAAGAACATATTTGTAACTAAAGTAACAGTAGTACAAAATAGGCTTTCTATGCAAAAACAAGTGAAAGAGAATGTCTAGTAACCTATATTTATAAACTAAAATAATATTCAAGATTACAACAAATTTCTTGATAAGAGTAATATTGATGCAGGACATTATTTAATAGACCATTTGATTGATCAAAGTGTAGAGATATGTGGGGATGTACTKATAAATAATTTAGTCTCAGGCCTCAGTGATATTTAACTCAGTCCGGCTTTAATTCCGGCTATTTGTGGTCAACCGTATTAGGCCTGTAGAGATAATGGACTGAATGGACCATAATTTCTTTGTTTTCCTTTAAGTTATGTTTATGATTTGTGTTAGTATATAGTGGGCCTTAGTTATGGGTCTGTTTTCTTGTTTTTTATTGCTGTCTTTAGCGATGGACGCCCTACTAAGGGTACTCATGTAATTGTCCTTATTTTTTACAACAAAACAATATAAGAGATCATTGGGGGCTGAAGAGACGTTTCAGAACAACTCTCTCTTCTTCTTCCTTTTCTTCCATCTTCTTCCTCCATCACTTCTCTCTCTCTCTTCAATCTCCTTTTCTCGTATTTCTTTTCTTTTAATTCAGATTATTGCAGGTGCGATTTACCACTAGGTAGGGGTGTCCCTGAAAAACTGAAAAACCGAAAAACCAACCGAACCGAGAAAACTGAACCGCAAAATGCGGTTAACCTATAAAAACCGAAGGACCGGTTCGATTTTTGGTTAACCTATAAAAAACCAACGGTTAACCGAACCGACCGGTATATATATTTATATGTATATTTTATATATATTTTTAATATATGTCACATATTTTCTATGTAATTTATATAAATATATATTTCATTATATATAAATATATACTTATATTATATTTATAATGATCTATTTACAAATATATTGTATATTTTTAAAATATTTATAATATATTATATATCATTTATTATTTATAATATAAGATTATACATATATTTATATAATACATATTATAAATATAAAAAACCGAAAAACCAAAGAACCGAACCGATCAACAACTGAAACCGGCGGACCGGTTAACCGGTGGTACCTGTTCAGTTTCGGTTTGGCGAAATGAAAAAACCGGTACCACCGATTCGGTTTACAAAAAGGGGCCATGGTTCGGTTAACCGAACCGTGGACACCCCTACCACTAGGCTCATCCCACCATTGTGATCAAGAATTCAAGAACCATGCTTTCTGCTAAACTTTATTATTTTAAGGAAAAATAAAATTTTATTAAAATAAAAAAGAAATTACAAGATAGGTGATAAGAAATCACGCAAGAGAAAGAAAAACTAAAAAAACTCCAACTAGAAACACCACAACCAATCCACCCAAACACAAACCGAAAAATTTCAACCACCCCCCGCCTGAACCCCAATCTCAACCAACCCACAAATACCAACAAAAGACACCCATGTGACATGATAACACCAACCAAAACCCCAAACCAAGTGAGCAATGCAACACTACATCATAGCTTTAGTCACTTGAGAGAGATCCTCTTTACTCCATTTAATTGATTTCTTGGATTTTTTTTCACCATTTTGTTGGGTCCCATTCCAAACAAACACCCCTTTCAGCCTGGTGAATCATTTCTTACCACTTAAGCCTACAACTACTTTGGTCTTCCCTTTGCTCTTTTAGGCCCCTCTACTTACACCAAGTCACTACTAAATACCCTCATCTTCTTAGTTATCAGGGATGCTTTTGTCCTCTCTCAGATGCACTCATTTCTATTGGGTTTTCCAGATTGTAAGAAGTATGAGAAATGGGGGTACTTCTAGGATTAAAAAATATTCAGTGACTTTATTGTAATATCACCCCATTGGGGTCATCATCATTATCATCATCCAAGCCTTATCCCAGCTATATGAGGTCAGCTACATGAATCCTATTTCACCATTCCATTCTATTTAATGCAATATCCATCTAACCCTAACCCTTCTAGCCCCTTGCATTTGCAACAGAACACTTACAGGTGTAATTTGGAGAATTACAATATTAATATAAAGAGACTCCATCATTAGAGAGAGACATAGACATGAAGAAGTTTTAGACCCAATGTTTTCACTTCTATCCCCTTGTTCTATCATCTTTCTTCTCTCACCATACTAGTGACAACGTGGTATTAGAGCAACAAGATGACTCCAATCATGATGTTGCATGGTATTTCAGATCTAATGATCTATTAGTTAACTTAAGATGTGTCACTTGAATCTCTTAATCATCTATTTTCTTCTTTTGCAATTCTTATTTGTTCTTAATATCCTTCATTCAGTATAGAATTTACTATAAGTAGTAATTTGTTTTACTAAATATAATACTTGTGTAGTATTAGTTGTACCATTCTTGAATCACCTGATTTCAACTTTCGACTTTCAAGTACTTTTGGAGAATTTTCAATCAATTTTTTATGCCTGAAAAAGAATTCTAGAGTTTATTCCCAAAAATAAAGAAAAACTAAAGATCATGGTTTCCGCTTGACAGAGGCTTTTTTTGAGAGATGTGACATTCACATAGGAGCGAATCAGCAATTTTAAAATTTCCAATTAGGGTTCAAGAACCCATGCAAATCGGCTAGATAAAACTGCTTAAATCGATATCAGATAACAAGTTCTCTCCAAAAATCAATCTTGGGATTTGAACCAAGTCATATCAACTTTCAGAAGTTAGATTCATACTTAATATTAGATCCTCACAAGTGCAAGAATAGTGGTGGTATTCATGCCCAAGAAACTGAGCCTCTCTCTTCCCAATGCAATAAAACTGAAGATGGCACGGCCTTGGGTAATGCTTAGTCCAATCCTTGAGAAACCAGCACAGATATGGTGGTGTTATCTCACCTGATAACGGAGGTTCTCTCCAGAAAAAAAAAAAAAAACACTCCTCCAGAGCTGGTTTCAATAGGTAAAGAAAGGTACAAAAGATTGCAAGTTCAATCCTAGTGATTTCTCTAGGTTTTTGGACCAAATTGATGCAAGAAAAGTAGCTGGACGTGTGGTACTCTTTCTCAACTCTTAATGGGTTTAAATAGGATTCTATTAAGTCCCCTTTAAACCCTATAAAGATCCTAATCAAATTAGAAAAGGCTAGGTTTTAGTTAGTTACTAATTCCAGTCCTATATTGACTAGTCAAACTAGTCAAGTACCTAGTCAAACTAGGTAACTTACAATCTTGTGCAAGACCAGTTCTAGAAGGTTCCTAATTTCTCAAGGATTGAGATAGCAGGTGTTCTTGTATGGGTAGGACCCACTAGCAATCAGATTGTAGCATCATAGGTCTACCTCCTCTCTTGAAGAGAGGTGGGACCACCATGGCCGAATTCACTCTAATAAAAGAGTGAATTGCCCATAGTTAAATGGGCCTAAAAATTTTGGCCTAAATACCATTTGCAGTATGATCTCTTAATCATTAATATCTAACAATGGGATTCAGGAAAAGACTTGTTCCCTTAACAAATAGCCCAATTATCATACTCTTCTCTACAATGGATCCTAGGAAAGAATATTTTGCAAACACATTTCCAAAATAAACTATTTATAAATATAATATACTTTTGCAAAACCAATTTCAAGACAATGTGAAATCCATTGTTGATAGTTGTATACTTTCCATTGGAGACTTGGGAGAGTATGTTCACAGATATTCTCTTTGTCTAACAAAGTGGTTGATCCTATCATAATGATCCATTTTCCAGATAACTCATATATCTGCTCTAACCTCCAACATACCCAAGTATTGACCCCAAAAGGATCTCACTAATTGGCATATCAAAAGCAACTCTACTTGATACTTGACAGAGTACCATTATCAAGTCAAGGATCTCATGCAACATTTCAGTTGTTCCACTTATCTACAAAGTCCATGAACAATCTTAAATTGGTCCAGTTTAGTGTTCCAGGTAAACACCTATTCTCACACCTTGGGTCACAACCCTAGCAGCTGAGACCAAGTGCTCCATAACTTAGGCAGTTGAGAACATTTAGACTACATACAGACTATGGTGTCTCAAAACAAAATCCTAGAATGTAGTACCGAGTAATTTTCAGAAACATACCACATGAAAAATGAAATAAATTGCACTTTTATTCATAATAACAGTCAATTACGATTTCTGTCGGAGTTGACGGCACACGCTGTCTAGCATTTTTGTCCAAATCTAACATGACACTCTAGACTTTTTGGGCTTTTTATGAATTTCTAGATCCAACTACTTAAGTTTTATTGGCTTCTATGAAGAATTGAGTGAGCACCCTTCTATTTTGGCGCCATTTGGTAATTATCCCCTTGAATCTTGATTGTAGGTAAAAAAAATATTTATTTTAGGCCACTTTTTGATGATCAAAGATCATTCATTGAAGTTATTTGGGACTGATGGGCTCTTCTGGTAGTGATTTCACACATAGCTTTGAGCCTGGTCTTGTTTCAAGTAGTACATAGAAGAGATAGGCATCCCGTTACAGCAGGTTTCTTTTTGCTTCTTGAGGAAAGAAGGTGAAACTTCATATGTGAACCTTACAGGACAGGGGTAATATTTTTTTTTTCTTGAGCATGCATTTTTTTGTTGAGTATCATTGGCATTGCTGATCAGTCTAGTTTGTATCTTCTAGGGCTGAATGTTGCAACCAGAAAAATTTGACAGGAAAGTAATAAAGATAGTCAATCACAGAATGACAAAGACAAGGTGTCCACTTTGCTCATTATGACAGATCTTAGAAATACAAGAGAAACCTTTTTCACATTTAGTGGGTAAATCCTTCAAATGCTAGTACTCCACAGTTAACTACTGAGCCCAATTACTCCATCCCTGTTGGCATCATTCCTGTTGCTCATTAACAGATAGAGTAGCCACACTGCCACATTTCTTTGCTAAAAGCCTTTCACTACTTATGAAGGCATTGCCTTTTGGCTATTTTGTTACTCTATAAACTTGTACGAGTGCTTGGCATGGCACCTTCCAAGAGATCTCCCCCCTTCTTTACTCTAAAAAACATAGATTCAACAACTATCAAACTAACTCCAGCTTTATTTACCACTGCATCAACAATAGCAGAATAAGACAGTAACTGGATTCATATTAACACATTAAAAATATTACAACGATGTACTTGTTAGAAGATGTGTGTTTAGGAAACTATGGGTGTTCTTGGTATTTTACATGTAATATAGTCATGCTGTAACATATTCAAAGCTGTAGGGGCAACATTGTAATTTTCTCACTCATTATGAAATAAAAATGTTTGAGAGAGTCAGGTTATCCAAACTGAACCTTCTCTTCTTTCATTTCTCTCTTATCTTCTCTCCCTTCTTTCTTTCTTCTTCCTCTTCCTCTACTCTCTCAAAATCCAAACTTCTTAAACAAAAGAAGAAAGCAAACTATACTAAATAACAAATGGATATTGTAGTTAGTACAATATGAGAATGAAATCATAACGGTAATAACAGATGAAATGTTAAGATTAGAGAAGAACAAGTGGAAAAAGTAGTACTCCTCATGAATGTCAAAAAGGATATAAAACTAAGCTAACCTATTTTCAACAGTTTCCTTAAAAAATCTTTCAACGTCTGCCACATTATTTGCAATAAGAGACCAGCATGGTTCCCCTGTACGGTAAAGCATCAGTCAAGTGGTTAGTTTCCTAAAGAAAAGTATATCAAAACTTGTCAATGATCTCATAATGACAAGGAAAATCCTATAAGACCAAACAAATTATCATGACAATCTACCATCACAACCAAATTTTCAAACATATCAACATTAAAATTCTGAGTTGATCAAACGCAAGGTTACTATTAACAGCCGAACAGAGGAGAAGAGAGGTAGGAGAAGAGAAGAGAGAGACTTGGAGTCTGCTACAGTGCCGCTACAGTTAATTTCTTTTTATATTACTATGTACACACACACACTATGCTAGTACAATTTATTTCTTTTTATAGCCAATTTACAAATTTCTGTTTTATTATTATTTATTTTGCATTTATTTTACACTTGTAAGTTTTTCTATCTAAATAAAATAATATTTCTACTTAATTTACAATTATTCTACTCTATTTTTCAAAATAAACTAATTTATAAATTTTAAATGAATATTTTTCATCATATTCAAGTTCTTTAGTGGAACAAAACGGCTTGTAACTGAGAAAGGATAAAAAATAGTTTGAAATTTTGTTGGATTTTTTTTTGTATTAATACCTTTTACTTTATTATGTTTATGCTTTGATTTAAAGAAAAATCATAACTAACATTTTTAGTTTGTAGATTCATGGGTCCAACTATGAATGAAGATATCATTCTCACATGCAGTACATTGAAACATATAAATAGTAGAGAGTGTGACAATGAAACATAGAATGAAGATATCATTCAAAAAACATATGAATGAAGATATCATTCTCACATGCAGTACATTGAAACATAGAGCTGCATATTAATATTATTGTATTTAATAAGAGTAGAGAGTGTGACACTACATTTTGCAATTGTCTGATAATTGTTATATTACTACAACATATAAATAGTAAAGATATTAGGTTGGGAGAGATATCATCAAATGTTTTTTGAGTCTAGCCAAATAAATAGTAAAAATTTCTTAAAATTTGAGACTATAATTAATATCATTTTAATGTGCTATTATTTTTTCAATTTCAACATTGCATAAATGAGGTATACTCCTAACCAATTTCAGGGTGTGAGGTAGTGGAGTATGCCTCACTAAATTTTATACAAAAACCTTTTCCATCAAAGGTCAAATATCTAGGTATGTTGGGGCAGTTTAGGAAATTACTTGAGTGGGTGATCATAGTGATAGGATCGGCCCCTTTGTCAAACAAAGTGAAAATCAGGATTTACACTACTCTGATGGAAACCTAAAGTACCCGCAGTGGATTTTAGTTGTATTTGAAATCTGATTTGTAAAATGTATTTACATGTTATATTATTATTTTATGGAAAAGGTTTGCAAAAGGTTTTGATCTCAGGATCCATCCGAGTAGAGGGTGTGACACTATATTTTGCAGTCAATGAAGAGGTCCTTCCCTGTGGACAGTGTTTTGATGATTATGGGCCAAGAGGTTAGGTGTAAGAGACCATTATAGGGCTAATTACCTAATGGAATTTATTTTACATAAGTCCATTATCATTGGGTCTTCATAGGGTGGCTGAATCCAATGATCATTTATGTGTAAATGTTGGGCCCAAACTGAGCCCAAGTTGATTGGGTTAGGGGTTCACTGCCTCTAAGTAGTGAATTCGGCATAACCTTTTCCAGATGTAAGTCAAACCCTTAAGGACTTGTGTGAGACCTTTCTAAGTCCTACACCATACAATATTCAGGCCCAAAGTGGCCATGCAACACCTTGGGACATAAACCATTAAAGAAAATGGGCCTAAATCCCATTACTAATATGATTAGTTAAGAGATCACATGACAGCTTAAGTGTCATGTGATTTGGGTTGAAAATGGGCATGGATCTGGGTATGGAGCACCCATTTTCTTAAGAAGATAATACTTGTCAATTAAAGATAAAGTCCTAATCCAAATTTGATTTAGAGCACCCAGCTCTGGCTAGGGGGATATCAAAACCTCTAACACCCTTGTTTTATCCTCTATCTTTCACGTCCCCAAACTTAATATCAATCTTTTATCTGTTAGCAACTTAACTAAATCCATGAACTGTAGCATAACCTTTTTTCCTACCCATTGTGTTTTTCAGGACTTGAAATCTCAGAGGACGATTGGGAGTGGCCATGAGGCGAATGGAATATACTTGTTGGACACACCTGATATGAGTCTTGGACCACCTCATGGAGTAGCCTTGGAGTCTGTTTTGTCAGAGTCTTGCATAGTTTTCAAGGTGCAAAGGCGAGGCTAGGCGACTGAGGGGCACCTTGTCGCCTAGACACCTAGGCAGTGGATTTTTTATGATAAAAACATAGATCCTAGGGAAGTTCCCTAGGTACCATAACCATATTTCTTTAAGAATTAATCATGATTTTCAAAAGAAAAGTATAAATTTCATACTAAAGTATAGGAAATCAACATATTCATGAGAAGAAAAGGAAGAAAGAAAATAAAATTCAAAAAATATAGGGGCTGAACTCTTAATTTGTTATAGGGAAAGAAGAAAATAAAAAGCATTGGTGGTAGTAGTAGTAGTAGTAGAAGAAGAATAATATATGGAAGAGGAAAATGTGCTGATTAGATAAAATTTTTAGTTCTTCCTTATTGGTTCAAGTTTTTAAGTTTTTGAGGGTTCAATACAGCATTTAGCAATGTTTGTGTTGATTAAACCCTAATAAATAAGAAAATAATAAAAAGAAATTAGTATATAAACACAAAATGATTATTTTAGTTTAATAGTCTATTTTATAATTATAATCTCAAAAAAGAATGAATAAAAAAGTATTTTATAGTAAGAAGTAGAAAACTGTTAGGCGATTAGGCGAGGCAAGCCTCAAAGGGTGCCTTGTTGCCTAGGTGTTGCCTTGACAACTATGGTCTATTGATAGAGTCATATTATGTCATTTCCGGTTTGGTCATTTGCCTTTTTCTGCTTTGAGTTATTTGTTTCCCAATATGTTTAAGGGAATATCTTTATCGAATCTTCATTGTGAGTCTTGTGAACTTGCAAAGCATTGTATACAGTCTTATTCAGTAAGCAATGAAAGATCTATTTCTCTTTTTCATATTGTGCACTCTAATGTGTGGGGGCCATATCATTTGCCTACTATGGGGGGTTACAAGTACTTTATCCTTTATATTGATGGTTATTCTCATTACACTTGGATTTATCTCATGAAATCTCGGGATGAAGTATCAACTATTGTGCAAACATTTCATGAACTTATCCTTACCTAGTTTAACACCCGAATCAAAATATTTTGTTCTGATAATGCTAACGAATATTTTGAGAAGAATCTTTCATCCTACTTTAAGACTTTTGGGGTTATTCATCAGAGTTCTTGTTCCTACACTCCATAGCAGAATGGAGTGGCGGAAAGGAAGAACCGCCATGTGGTTGAGGTTGCTAGATCCCTCATTTTTGCATCTCATGTTCCTATTAAAATTTTGGGAGATGTTGTCCTTACTACTACATTTTTTATTAACCGTATGCCTTCCTGGTTTCTGGGTTTCAAAACCCCATTTAACCTTTTCATTCTGGATGAGGATCTCTTCTCTCTTCTCTCTTCTCTAAGGTACATAAGTTTATTTTTCTAGGATATGCCTCCACACAGAAGGGATATTGTTGTTTTGATCCAGTTAGTGGCACCCACTTTGTCTCTCGGGATGTCACATTTGTTGAGTCTAATCCTTTCTTTAGTATTTCTCCCGAGGGAGAGCAATCTGAGGAGCCCTTTGCTATGTCTCCAGTTGTTCCTCTTCCAGTTCCTTTTGAGTCCTCTGTTGAGTTATCTTCACCCCCCACTGTGTCTACCTCAACTGTTCCTACTCCCCCTTTTCCTCCACCTCATCCTCTTATAATTCCCTCACATCCTGTTCTCCAAAGGTGGTACCAAAGACATAGATTCAATCATGGGAAAGTTATTTCCACTCCTTTGCTCCTCCCATCATTACCAAGGTAACAGGTCAGCCTTCCTCTAACCCATCTACTTCCTTCCCAAACCTTGATCTTCCTATTGCCCTTCGCAAAGGCAAGCCGAAGTGTACAGCACATTGTATCTCTAAACACTTGTCCTATAGCCTTCTATCCCTTACCTATTACTCTTTTCTTACTTTTGTCTCTTCCCATGTGATTCCCAAGTCTATACCAGAAGCCCTATCTAAACCTGAACAGAGGGATGCTATGTTGGCTGAACTGCATGCTTTGCATAAGAACCATACCAAGGATATTGTGGATTTGATAGAAGGGAAGGAACCAATAGGTTGTAAATGGGTATTTACCAATAAATATCATTTTGATGGCACTATCGAGAGGTTTAAGGCCCGATTGGTTTCTAAAGGCTACACTCAGATGTATGGTATTGATTACCTTCAGACTTTTGCTCTTGTAGCCAAGATGACCTCAGCTTAATGGGTTTTATTGTCTCTAGAGTCTAGTTGCTACTTTTGCTTGGCCTCTCCACCAGTTTGATGTTAAAAATGCCTTCTTGAATGGAGACCTACATGAAGAGGTCTATATGCCTTTGCCTTCAGGGGCGTATGGAAAGAAAATGCAAGGGAAGGTGTGTAAACTGCAAAAATCCATTTATAGTCTCAAACAGTCTCCTCAGGCTTGGTTTGAGAGACCCAGGGTTGCTCTTGTCTCCTTTGGTTACACACAAACTCATCCTAACCATACTTTGTTTTTGAAAAGAAGTAACTCTTTGGTGACTCTTTTTATTGTTTATGTTGATGACATTGTAGTCATGGGTAATGATACCCAGGAGGTGAGTAAACTCTAGGTTTTTTAACTCTGAATTTTGAGATCAAGGATTTAGGAGATCTCATGTATTTCTTAGGAATTGAAGTTCCTAGATCTAAGGATGGTATCTACATTTCTCAATACAAGTATGTTCTTGACCTCCTTGCAGAAACCGATAAACTTGGTGCTAAATCGGCCTCCACCCAATCATAAGCTTTCTGCTATAGATGGTGAACTTTTGT